TTCCAACCTCAGTGATTCTGTGATTCTATGATTCTAATGTAAGGCTATAAATGAGTTCTTAATCCAAAATTAGAAAAATAATTATAAGTAGTGATACAAGAAGCATCTGTTTATAGTCTTTTTGTAACTGTATATAGTACATACCTTTCTCTGTCTCTTATTAAAAGATGTATAAGACTAGAAAGACAGATTGAGACTTAAGTAACAAGTAAAACCATGTTTTTAGGACTGTTCTACAGAAGATGCAAGTTGGTTTCTAAGACGGAAGTTACCCATGACACCAAGCTCTTCTGCTTAATGTTGCCTAAGAGCACACATCTTTATGTTCCCACTGGACAACATGTTTACCTCAAACAAATCATTGCAGGTAAGAAAAATTGAGAATGTAGCCATGGATATAGTAACATAAATCCCTTTTCATAGTCTTGGGAGAATGCCAAGTCCATCGCCACTAACTCCCTGGTTGTAGTTAGAATGTCTCTGCTTCCAGGATCACAATCAGTGCTTAATAATGAACTGACTGGATTAATATTGCTGGAAAGCTAATTATTGAGGTGGCTGGCATTTACTGTTGACCTTATCGGCTCTTCTTTCAACTCTCCCTTTAAAACATTCTCTCTACTGAAGTAGTGCTGTTAATCTTTGAAAGGGGTGAAGCTCATTGTGTATGTGTTATGTATGATTAGTCAGTTCCTTTTAGTTTGCAGCTTTCTTGGCATGTGGAGGGTAATGTTGCAATTTTGCTTTTTTTTTTTTCCCTTCTTCTGAGGGATTTATAGCAGTCATGGTAACACTACTTTGCACTCCAGTTGCATGATAGTAATGATAACATGAGGTTGTGAGAGGAATGCATCTTGAAAAGCATTGTTTAAGCACTATTCTTCAAAATTTTATAAAAGCAAACTTAAAAAAATAAAATGGGAGGTCAAAGAAATATCCGTTTTATTTTTTTAAGGGTACTTTTTAAAATTTGCATATTCATCGTTATGCTGGTCACTGTACTTGCATTGCACTATGCATAGTAGAGAGATTTCTCAGAAGAATTTTTAAATATCCTTTACTTGCAAACTGTTTTGTCCTTCTCCTCCTGCTCCTCCCTACTGAATTCTTTGCTGGTGTCCAACTCTTGCAATCTTTTTTTCTATCATTATACAAAAGCTTTTTGAAATTATAGTGGAAGAAAATATCATGCAGTATTAAAAATCTGCTATTTCAGTTTAGAAAAAATCAAGCCGTGGTACTTGAAATTAAATGCAAATGTTTAGATTTTCATGTTCTTTGGGGATGACTGTAGCTCTTTTCTTCCAGTGTTTTGAATTGCTAAGTAGTGTAGAAATAACATACTGTACAGTGGCCTGAAGATTCCTAGTTGGAAGTGGAAGGCTACTGTAATAAGAACTGGTGCAGTGGAAAGTAACATACTTGCATAAAAGCATGTGATGGTGTTATTTTTATGGGATATGCAGATTATTTGTTTACTGTTTATTTTGGTATTTGTTTGCAGTAAATTTGCTGGTTGTAGAGCACTTCTCATATTATTTCAGCTACCTTTTTTTCTTCTATCTAGGGACAGAAGTAGTAAAACCATACACACCCGTATTGCCTTTTTTGCCACTGGATTTCAAAGAACCATCTCGCCATGATGGTGCACATATATATTTAATGATTAAAATTTATTCCTGTGGTCTGTTCACACAGGCACTTGACCACCTACAAGTTGGTAAGTATACGTTGGGTTTTTTTGTGTTTGGTTTTGCAGCGATTGCTTTATCTTTTCAGATTCACTGTCTGGGTATTGTGATGTTCTTATTGTTTACCTATTTATACATCGTGACATACTTACAACTTTTTTTTTAAACCTTATTCTCCATGCGCTAAATGTACAGGCTTATCCTCACTGTAACTAGGAGTTGTCCATTATGTAAAGCTCTCCTGACTGGTCTTCCAAATGTGTTCATTTTTAACTGTTCAGATATGTCAACTGTATCACACATTATAGTAGATCACTTTGATTGTATATACTCTTAGAACAACTTTTTGTACTTTCGAATAAAGAAAGATAGGTCTATTTTATTAGACTGAAGATGCACTTCCTCTTCTGTTTCAGATACAGAGGTAGATTTTTAACACTGACTTCTCAAATGTTTGTGTACTCATGTACTGTAAAATCTCTCAAGACAAGACATTTTAATTGAACATCTGTTCTTTTAACAAGAATGATCCTTGTGTGAAATGTATAGTACCTTTCTGAAAGGAACTGTAATACGACCAGGATGAAGGCAATATGAAAGGGCTTTTAAAAAATCAGAATACTAATTAGCTTGTTTTCATCTCATTAACATTTATCATTCTTTTTTTTTTTTTTTTTTAATAAAGGAGACTATATTTCTGTCAGCAATCCTGAAGGTAACTTCAAGAAGTCACAGGTTCAAACTTCAGAAGATCTCTTTTTATTGGCAGCAGGCACAGGCTTCACACCAATGGTTAAATTGCTGAATTTTGCTCTGACTGAAGTTAGTTGCCTCCGGTATGTATGCCTCTTATGATTTAATCCCAAGCTAGAGTAATCCATAGGAAGGATGAAACGTAATGGGCAAGCCTCAGTGTTAATAAAACAATTAACAAAATAAAATGGTATGAAAGCATTTTTCTTCAACTTATGCCAAAAGCTGGCATGCTTTAGGAAAGAGTCTGTCTGAGTCTTAGGGAACTTACCCATATTTGGTTATTGGCTACCATCAACAAAATGGACTGATTTGCACTTTGGATTTTAGTTGTGATACAAATGAGCTCACCAAGTAGAAAATCTGAGGGGCTTTTTTTTAATTTGTTTTATTTGGTTTTTTTTTCCTTAAACTAGCTTTGCATCTGAGTGCCTTTTTTTAGTATTGAAATATTTCAATGTAGATACTGGTTTTTGGACTGAGGAGGTTTACAACTGTTCAGTTATGGCTTCTCTTTAATCTATTAGAATAGCTAGCATACTTTTATATCGTTTTCACCTGCTAAGCAACAGTAACACATTTTTACCAGATGAGTTCCAGTTTTCACAAAAGTGCAGCTTATGTAAGCATATGTTCAAATGCCTAAAAAGGTGTGTATTGCATATGCATTCTGTATTCCACTTGTAAAATCTACAGAAGGAAGCATTACGTGTTCTTGGTCAAGTGAACAGATTGTTTTGGCCCCTTATGTCCTTCAGAACCCCAGAACTAGTACTTCTGCTTGTATTGTATACTCTAAGAGAGTATACAATAGCTCAACTTTAAAAGGAAATGCAGAGTTACTGTAGGGGCATACTTTGATAGAGGTGAGGTGTGCTTGCATTGCTTTTAGCAAAAATCTTCCTCTAGAATCACATCTTGCAGAATTTCTTAGCAGATTACATTTTTATTAATGTGAACTATTGTAATTTGGGAGAGTATAAAAATGAAAAATACACCTGAACTGTATATTTTCTTTAAAGCTGTTGCAGAGGACAGTTCAACAGACTTGCTACTGTTTTCCTGTACCTTTGAATTTGGACTTTTGTAATGGAGATTAATTTCTAATACTGAGTTTTATTCAATATAAGCACAGGATGTTTTGCTTCATTATGTTTTGATGAAGCACATTTTGAAACAACATAGATTAATTGGACACTAGTCTTAATAGTAAAGTTAAAAAGGATGACATGTACTGCAGAAATCTGTTTCTAGAAAAAAAAATCTAAACCCAGACATTATTCTTGTATTGTTTATTGTTCAGCAATTACATATAATCCTATTTTGTGAGCAGAGAGACTGTGTACTGTTTGGCTCTTCCAAAGTGTCCTGTATTGTCAGTAGCGAATCACAAGCGGCTGGCTGGCTTTGTGAATCCAAAAGATAAATCTATCATCTGACAAAATGCTTGGGAAGCACTACTAAGTGAATTTGGAATAATTTTTTTTTTTTTTTCTTCTTGAGGGGAAAACTAGTATGTCAGGTAAAGGTAGCTGTGATAATATATGAAAGCAAAACTAAGGAGAGATGCAAATCTTGGCATTTTGTCCATAACGGGAATAAACAGAGTAGTAACACGTGTGAAAGACTACTACTGCACAGATAGTGCTTGTATCTACTCTGTCTTTGAAAGATGACCAGAGTGGCTTATTTTAACTCTCTTCAGCACAATTTCTTATGGGGACTCAATGCTCACAGTTAGCTTAGGATGCAGCAACATCTGTTTCCTACTAGTCGAAGTAAATGAATTTTTCCTTCTTGCCGTGGAGGCTTGTTAGGTGCTGGAATGACTTGATCTGGTACAGGTTCTGTTTATATGCAGACACTTAAAGCTTCGTTTTTCTGACTGCTCTAGGCAACTTAGTTTCTTGGCCTTATATTTGCTCTTAACCCTCACTTTCTCCTTTGGGAAAATATTAAAAGAGTGTCTTTAATATATATGTGTGTGTATGTATTTATATATACTATTTATATACATGAGATTATATGTATATATAAACAATATAAATATAATTTACATAAAATTCTCTTACTGTGAAAAGTAACGATTGCTGTAAACTTGGATTGCACACGCTAGAACACAAATTGCAGAAAGTTGAGGAAGGATCTGAATAATGACCGACTTGTCACCTGAGGGTTGCAGAAGCCGCTTCTGTCTGTAGTGCTGGACAAGTGCTGCTCAACCTCTGGGGCTGCACTGCGAATGTTGGAGAATCCGCAGCTTCCATAGGTGGTGGTTGCTGTGGTCTAATGGGCTTGGATCATTGGATTTCCATTCTTACTGTCTAGCCAAAGTCTCCCTGTTATCTTTTAAGTCTGTTATTTCTTGCTTGCGGTAAATGTGGAAAACTATTTGTTCTCTTCCCATCCACAGCATCCTTTTGTGCATGAAGTCATAATGGTCTTCCTTCAGTCTTGTTTCTTCTCTTACAGGCCAAGTTGTATTTGGCCAAAGTATTAATTTAAAAAGAATATCGGTCCTCTGTGCTGTTTTTTCCTTTTTAAGGTGAGATTTTTACTGGTGGTGTATAACTGCAATCAAATGGATAACGTTTCTTAAAGAAGACTGAGGCATAAAGGCACTAAACACTAGGTAGAGGGCTAACGCTCTTAAGTGAGTATAGGATGCTTGCACGCTATTCTTAATTCTCCTTGATAGTTGCATCTTGCTTTGTCTCCAGCTTTTCATTCCTGAACTACCACTCTGTTCTCATACTCATTTTTAATATAGTGTTCCACTTTCATCATCACTTTTCTGGTTTTGAAGGTTACCAAAAAAGATTTTGTAACTCTTTCTACCTCCTCTTCTTCCTCTGTGTTAAAATCACCTAAGGATCTCTTTAACTTCTCTCCCTATGCAGCTTTCCATAAGACCTTGCATACCAGTTTTTGAGTTTATTAAAACCTGCATCCCTTGTAGTAGTTACCAGTATGTCAGATTCTCCCTATTTCCTTCCAAAGAGCTGATTAAGTTTCTCATTTGTTATTTAAAGTTCTGTCATTATTCTCTCAACCAGCTCTTCTGTACTGGTGGGGATCAGATCTAAATCTCCACCCCTTCCTTTTAGCTGTTTTCTCCCTCATTTCTAGCAAAACTGTTACCAGTTCATTTCAAGTTTTGAGGTTTTCTGTTCTCTTTATAGTGCTGAGTACTGAGCAGTACTGCAGCAGATCTATTCATCTACACTGGGGAGTATCAGTAAGGGTGTATTCTCCAAATAACCAATTTATACCTTTTTGCCCAATGAACAAAATGCATGGCTTTCCTATGCACTTTTTATTGACTTTTTTCCCTACCTGAGTAACATTTGATGCTGTGGTGCACCATGCCAGCTTTGACAGCACTACATTCCTGCAGTGAGCTTTATTTTCCATGTTTTCAGGGAAGTGGGCCCTGGGGAGCATGTAAGGAACCTAGGTTTTTGGCACATGCTTCTGAATAAGTTGATTTTAGTATTTAAAGATGCAACATAGCTGATTTGGGGCTGTTTTGTTGTATACCAGGCAAGTTTTCCAAAGCATGTATGTTGTAACTTATTTTGAGTTGTAATGCATTTAGAACTACTTCCTCTCAGTAACACTACTGATGCATATTATATACAATGGTCATACCTCAGTTTTATATTTTGGCAGCAGAAAATGAATGTCCTTCTCATAAGTAGAAGATGATCTCCTATCTTTGGCATCTGATGTAGCTTTTAAGAGATTTCCTGGTATCTTAAAGTGCTACCAAACTGCAAAAGGGGAAAAGGTTAGATGTCAAGCTGGGAGAATATAGGCTTTTAAATTGCAGTTGAAGAACAGCTGGAGATCATGAACTCTCCACAGAAGCCCTAGCATATGTAATGCACATGCGTGAAAGATGGCTCTCTTGCAAGGTACAGAGGATGAGGTGACGGGAATTAATAGTTTCAGCGCAACGTCTAGTGCTAGTCTCTTAGAAGCAAGGTCAGCCACATGTAAAAGGGACACTGGATAGTGGAGTGCATTGTTACGGAACTGGAATTGTAGGACTATGTGGTATGCAGGACTAGCAGGCTTATCTCAGCCTCAGTGGTGGCCCTGCCAGGTACCCATGTGGTTCTGCATGCATTTCTGTACCAGATACCCTGGTGCTCCAGCTTCCTGCAAGTACGGCACTGAACTTACTGCTTCTGGCACCATAGCAACATGCTCTCTCTGCTCAGAGCTGTGCCCTAGTGGAAAAAACAACAGTAACTTAAAGCCCTGTGGGGTGCAGTTCAGGAACTGCTTGCATTTAACAACAGATCATCTGTCTTATATCAGTTGTCCCCAGGGTATTAGTGTGTCATTAGCAATAAAGGAGAAGTTAGGTTTATGTGGCTTCATCAAATGGTAAATTCTGTTTTGTGAAGTCAGTCTTTGTGTTTTATGTCCACTGTAGCATAGTGACCTTAATGACAGAGCATTTATTTTTTATGTGAACTATCTGGCAAATATAATGCTTGTAAACAGTAGCTTTCCATGTGAATAGATTTTATAAATCAACAAATAAAGTAGGAATAAGATAATCTGGTACAGAGCTGTAGTTTGCTCTTCAAGTTATGAGTTAATTTTCTCTTACTCCTATGTGTCCAGATTCCATCTTTATTAAATTAATATTGACATAACCTTCTTGAAATTTCAGTTTCACCTCTACAAGCTGGTGTATATAATATTACAAAGGGGTACAGAGTTCATATACCAGCTATTAATTGAAGTAGTAGTGCTCAAACAATATTGAGAAACCACTAGATAAAACTTGACAAAGCTATACTGTGTTCTCAGTCAGGTCTTAGTAACTTCAAGAGACTTTATTTTTCTTAGGACAGCAGTTCCTGAACTAGAGGTTGCAGACAGGGTTGTGACATTTAGAAGAGAGGTCACAAGTTCAACAGACTTTCAGGTACAGCAAGAAAGATACTATATTGGGTTAGTGGCAAAAAGATTTGAGGATTGCAGAGTTGCAAAACAAACAAACAAAATGTAAGTAAAAGGCTTCTGTGTAATGCAGTAAGTTCTGATTCTTTTAACACATGTTTCAAGTACAGAAACAATCTGCAGTTACTTCTTTTTTTTTTTTTTAAGGACAGTGAAGCTGGTCTTCTTCAACAAAACAGAAGATGACATACTTTGGAGAAACCAGCTAGAGCAATTAGCTCTTAAAGATGAAAGGTATTTAAAAGTCTTGTGGAGAACAACTTGTACAATCCCAGTATATAGAAGAAAAAGTCTTGGGGCTTAGAATAAGTGTACAGCTTTTGCACAAAGACAGATCCCAATTCTGGAAACTCTTAGCTAAGAATTTAATGAGACCCAGGGAGTGGAAGGAGATGTGCTTGTATCGGTCACAGATGCATAGCAGCAGGCTATGTCATTATGTTCTGTAGGTCCCATACGAAGCCAGGGATTTGGTATGACAGTGTTTAATAGATGTTTATTGGAGACAATATGTTAGATGAGATGATAGATAAAACTGAGAAGCTTTCTGAAGGTGAAGAAAATTAGCCTTAGCAATAGAAAATACGGATATGCAAAGAGAAGCAAAGAAGTGATAGACAAGGATAGTGTACCCTTGGAACATTCTGAATTTACAGAGAGTCTTGAAAAGTCTCTTTGGTGTCACTTAGTTGAGAAAATGATTATGTAGAAATTCAATGTTTATCTAGAAATTTAAAGTTTAAATTAGGCCTGTTACTTTCATTTTTACTTACTAATTGTTGCTTTTTTTTCCCTCAGTTGCCATGTAATTATGGATTAAAATGCACTAGTGCATATGTAATGTTAACTTAATTTAGCAGGCAGTAGTTCTGTCAGGAGACATAGGAATATCAGATTGCCTTTTAATTTCAGTACCCTTGTTTTTATCACTAGATAAATTGTCACTGCCTAGATTTTACATGATAGAAGTACGTTTTGTTTATGCTTACTTAATTCTTACTTGAACAAATAAATTTCACCTGTTCCTTCACAACATTGAAGTGAAAAATCAATATTATTTCATAACCTGGTGATGTCTGGCACATTCAAAGCTTCATAGTTAAACATTGTGCGAATTTACAGTAAAAACCCTTTCTCCCTTTCACTAGGAGCCTCAGATACACAAGTGCTTGTTTTTTACTCAATAACTACGCTGTTAGTGGGTTTTTTAAACCAGTTATAGTGTTTTCTCATTAATGAAATTGTACTGACATTTTCACAAGTTTGGCTAAGCATTCTTATTTCACTACTTGTGTATTGTGCTACACCAACATTTGTGTAAGTGAATAATGGAATAATAAAATCTGTGCGCTAGTATCTTAATTGGTACCAGCTGTTTTTCTTTGTAAGGTGAACTATACAGCTAAAATTTTTAAGATTGAAAGATTGGGTTAAATAATTAAATGCACAACACTGGAGGTGATTTAATTGACTTGATTGGTAGGAACAGCTAAATATCTGTGAGATCTGGTATTGTGCCAGTGGGAGCTGAGCAGAACAAGAAAGTAATCATAGGAAACAAAATCTGCATTTTGTGTGGCAGATTTCTAATCAGAGGCAATATTTCTGAAATACTCTTCTGCTTACCAGGTTTGAGGTTCAGTTCATTCTTTCACAACCAACAAAGGACTGGGTGGGTAAACAGGGGAAGATTTCTTCATCTCTTCTCTCTGAGTTTGTGAAAAGAAGCAGAAAAGACTCCAAAGTGCTTATCTGCATCTGTGGTCCAACACCTTTTACCGAACAAGGAGTACAGTGAGTATTTCAAATGATGAACTAGAGAATGAGGAATTTTAAAAAATTTGATCACCTAACTAGCTATAGTGTTTCTGACTTGGTAGTCTTTCAAAAATTGCCTTCCATTTTCTCCTTTGTAAGAAAAGTTTTTAAATTTTTTAAAAAACTAATTTTAAAAACCTACTTGGCATCATACTTTAGGAGTATATTTAGTGTGTAGATAATTAAATATCAGCAATATGTAAATTTCATGAGCTCTAGTAAGTTGTCCAAAACTTTCTAAGAGCATCTCTTTAACAATGACCTTTTTTCCCCAAGGTTTTAAATGCTGCTTTTAATTTGATGTTCATAGAAAAGTTGTTATAATAAGAAATAAGCTTTCTGTGTTGGTGTTAGCTTGACAAATTAAGTTATTAAAAGTAAAATTCAAAGCACATGTTCTATCACAAGCACTTCTCTCGATTTTTAATGATGGACTTATTCATGTCTGTACCTAATACTTTGCTGATTTTATATGCCATATATTTAAAGATGAAAGGCCCTCTAACTTTCTCTTGCCCAGCTTCAAAATATTGAAGCAATATGGACATAGCTTGCATTTCTGCAGCCCTACTGAAGTCAGGTGCATGGAGGGTGGAATTGGCCAATAATTATATTAGCTCTTGAGAAATCTGAGATACTTTCAATAGATATCTGTATTTATTTTTAGAAATTCTTTCAGTATCCTATAAGATAATGTGGTACATATGAGCTCCTGGGCATGAAATGTTTTCTATATGTATTCACAAAGATAAACTTCATTGTGCCTGTCTGAATAAACACAAGATAGTGGTGCTGAAGTTATGCTTCAGCTGTGTCTGTGGTGGGTTTTGGTTCCAAATATTAGTATTACACATTTGACTTTTTACTTTCAGGTATCTGAAGAATCTTGGATATTCCCAGGAAGAGATACACACTTTTACTGCATAAAATCATATGAAGATATCAATGTTGTTTGTATAATTCAATCTTATTTATTTACTTTCATGAATTTAATTAAGCGAGAAGCAATTTTCTAAGACTTGAAATTTCACTCTTGGTACCAAACTGTTTCTTGGAAGAAATATATCTTTGAAAAAATTTTATACTATGTTTTATCTTGTTTTTGTAAACATTTTTGCTAATCCAGGGTATTAATTTATTGTAGAGGCAAGCAAAAAGGTATAGTGTACATTATGTAAGATATTTCATGTTGTTGGTTCATGAGAATTCTTAAATTTATGACAGCACTGATTTAAGTTTTGACTTGAAAAGCTTATTATTTCGTACTGTAAAAAGTCTTAAGAGCGATACTGTCTGAAATTAAATATTGCACTGTAACTCAGGTAACCGGTCGTTGAAAAACGCTCTTTTTCATCTGAAATCTCTATTTGACTTGCAAGTGATCCAGATACATTTTTGGTTTTGTAAACAAAGAATAGAAGTACCTTTGGTAAAATATAAAAATTTACATCAAATAATAAAAAAATAATAATTTTACATTACTTTATGCATTTTTGTAAATTTTTCGTATTTTCAGGTTTGCACAAGCTTAGGACACCAGCTGAGAACTCAGAACAGAGGCACAGTCTTGGTCTCCCACAAAACTTTCTGTGTGACCTCGCTGGTATCAGGCATCCCTTGTCATGAGCCATTCTGAGGGTAAAAACATGACAGCTTATGGCCTGCAAATACCAGGGTAAGGACCACAGAAGTACCTAAAAATATTTGACAGGTTGCCGTGGTATTAAATGAGGTTATTTGAATCAGTGGGGTTTTTTTCTCCATTACTAAAAGTATGTTATCATGAGGCAGTAATCTGCTGTCTAATAATAGTTCAGAGAAAAAAGCAGCAAAGCAGCTACCCCCCTTCTAGATGTTGTCAATAATATTTATAGGCATTGTTTCGTATGACATCTAGTACTGTTTGCATCCTCCTGTTGTGTTGAATGGGTATTTCTTCCTCCTAAGAAGCCAGACTTGCAGTTGTGGCATTAATACTTCAGCGTTCATGAAAAATGTTTTAATAATACCCTCTAAAAAGGTTAAATTGCTATCTGACAGTGACTGGCTATGCTAAGCTGAGCTGTCATCTCTTCAGTGCCTTCTCATTTATTAGACTTGATGTTAGAAAAGGATCTGGTTGTCAGTCATTGCCCATGGGTCACAAGTTATTTCAGCAGGGACAGTGGTAGTATCATCATTTTGTCATCTAGAAGGATCTAAATGTTTTCAGTTATAATTTTGCAATGCATTCTTTGTGGAGATTTGTACTACAAAGCTCTGAACAGGTTTCTCTTCCGCTGAGCAGAAATATCAGTGCTACGCTGGAAAAACAAAGCACTCAATTTCATCATTTTTTCTGTCACAAACACAAGATTACTGTGGTGACTTAAAAAATTACATTTTGGTGTTAATGACTAAACCGTACATCTTCCATAGGATACTGAGGAATTTCTCATGTTCCCGTCACCCAAGATCTGATGGGATGGTCTCCTGTGTAAAAGAATTACATTAACTGCCTCCCTCTCAGGCTTTTTGGTTTTATCAGGTTACTTTGCCAATATCCTGCCCTTTGTGCTTTGATTGTCCGAATCTGCCTTTATCCAGAAGGACAAAAGAAAGTTTTGGATAAGTAGCTCTTGTGACACAGTACCTCAATGACTTTATCCTTTGCCTTAGGACATAGGCCATGCTTGTCAATAGATGATGACTTCTCGAAAGCTTCGTGCAGTCCAGGTGGTGATCATGGATATGGAACCACTTCAGAGTAGGTCTAGAAGCTCCTGCAGTTAGTGTGCATCTCCTTTGGTTTCTGAAAGTTTGTTTCCAGTCTGGTTACTAGTGATAATTGTTGTTTACAGTTGCAGCTTGAAGGAAGTTGTGCTCTTGGAGATTTTAGAACTGTCATCCTGAAGCAAGGAAGACCCTGACACGATTGGTTATGTTCAGTGTCATAAGGCATGTGGATCTTAAATGCCTTAAATATGAAGCAAGGAAAGCAAACAAATTGGTAGCTGCCCTTGCAAGTCCAACAAGACATTGAGTGCAGAGGTGTTCTGCTGCAGTGGTTCTTCCAGGTCAAATCTTCATGGGGTTGGAGTAAACTTCCTGGATCTTGGGCTGCGTCTGTCCACAGGGAAAAGAGGAGTCTATTTCCAGGGCTTGTTGACCTTATATTTTTCCTGGAAATATTAATACTCAATCAAAACTGAGTAATACTGAGATGATGATGTTACTGAGGAGCAAAAGGAGACTGTGACATGCAAAAGAGACATCCTTGGAAGTTTCAATATGCAAATGTGTTACCTTTGAAAACTTTTGAATGGTTGCTGTTGGTAGTTAGTTCGTGATTCATTCATTGTCAGGCACTCTCAAGCACTGAATTCAGAAGTGTTTCTGTTCATAATAAAAACGGAATATCTAAATCTGGTCTAGTAAAGGGGAAAGTCCTGCACGAGATCATCCGTGAATCACATCAAGTTATCATTTGGACTAATGTGCTATGGGGATCCCATTGCACTGGGGGAGAGAAGAAGGCTGATGATCCTACAAAGTGCAACATCTGATGATCTTAAGGGTCTTTTCCAACCTAAACAGTTCTATGTTGAGCATTAAATAGTGAGCGAGTGTTTCTGCTTTCTTTTGGGATGACTGAATAGACTTGTCAAATTGTCCGTTTTAAGTAATACAGAACTAGGATTCTTATGCAGAGCTTCATTACTTCGGTATTTTGACTGTCACAAATTATAATCAATTAGTGAGGGTAACTTAATTTACTCTTCTTTTTTTTGTTGTTGTTGAAGTGGGGTTTTTTAATGTATCTGCACTGCAATTGTGTTGTGGTGGCATCTAGTTCTCAACAAGTGCTTCAGGTTACTTGGCAACTTCTGGTAGTTGTATTCTGTGGTTGGTTGTTACAGAGGAAGAGATCAATACTTAAATATCTTCTGGAAGTTAAGAAAATACATATATACATACACACATCTCCAATATTTCTAACTGGTGTTTCTCTAGCTAGATTGTCAGCCTACAGTGTAAGTTTTTAAGAATTTGCACATCTCTGAGGATGCAACATGTTAATTTCCCGAAAAATGGGGGTTTTTTGTCCTGTGCTGGTACAACTTTCAGTTCTTTAGCATTACTTCAGTGACTTGCCTTGTTGAAATTGAATGGCTCTTCCCATAAGCTTTCAGTTGGTTAAAACGACTTTTACAGTAAGTTTGTGCTCAGCGAAATGATACAATAACCAGCTTCTGTTGAAGCTGGCCTGCAGATTCAGAGCTACCGGATGGGAAAAGGAGAGAGGGAATAGGCTCTCATGTGTTGTGCAGAAATTGACCAGAAAAGAGCTATGTTTTCCTAGGAAATAAGACTAAAAGTGGAAGATGACATCAGAAGAATATTCTCCTATTACCTGGTTAATGTCAGATAAACACTGTTTTGAATTGATGCTCTGTGCCATCTCTGGATGGTATTTCACCAAGAAACAAACCGTTTTTAGTTTTCTGAAAGGAAATTTGAAACATTTATCAAAAGGCACTGGCTTAATTACTGTGTTGTCAGGGTCAAACAGGGAATTTGTATGGAAAATCATTTATGGGGAAGAAGGGACAGCTGTAGTCTTATAGCTTTTAGTTTGGAACATATTCTTGAATAAACTCTTAATGTAATTTTTTATGTTTACAGCTGTAGATACATATTTTGTGTAATAAAAATAGTAGCTTGAAGAAGTAAATACTTGAGTACAGTATATTAATAAGTCTGCCAAGATTCTATTCATAAAATATTTAAGTTTGTCCACACATAAGAAACATGAAAAATACAATAGTTAATACAATGTTTATATTGCATTTTGTTGTTGAAGACGTACAGATTGAAATCCCAATTATACATTGTAATCCATTACTAAGACTGTTTTATAGCTAGCTGCTGCATGCTGCTGATAATGAAAAGGGATGATAAATTGTAACAATTATTTGCCAGTTGTATTTTTAAAAACTCAGCTTTTTGGGTTTTGTTGTCTTTAGTAAATGTGAGGAAGACAATTGCTTATAGGAAAATCCAATTTGCAGATTTATCGGTTCTAGTTCTGGAATACTTACATATTCAAAGATTGATTAAAACAAGGTCAGAGGAGCCAATGCGAAGTGGCGTAGTTGATCAGTTCTCTGCTGCTGCTCAAGACGTTTATATGTTCATTAAGAGAGAATTGTTTATAGAAAAGCATGCTTAATAAAACCACCCAGTAAATATAAGGAATTTGACAAATGCAATCATTCAGTAGGTCTTCATTAACCAAAAAACCATTCTATTGTTTTGTTTGCACAGTGTTTATTATTTCACTGCATCAGTCGTTCTGACTCTTCTGGAGGAGATTCATTACATAGTAAGGTGGAAAAATTTGCTCTATTGTCTCCTCTGCATTTTTTTTTTCTTAGGAGCGAAATTGATTTTTGGGAGCCACAGAAACCTCCATGCAGGTGTATCTTTTATCATACTAGTCCTTAGCTGCTTTTCTAGAAAAATTCCTGCATTACAAAACTGTGCAACACCCACCTTATTTTAAAAGATGGTCATAAATGTTATGCCTCCTAACATCAGTGGCTCACGCTACATGCAGTTGAAATAAACATTTTCTCCTCCTCCCTCACAAGAAGGTACATCATCAATATCTTGGAAATACATCTTCTGCCTTTTACATCAGACTGCTGCATCCTGATTTTGCAGTTTTAAAAACTAACCAGCCAAAACCAAACCAAAACATAAACCCATCACACGGATTTGTGGAAGTTACACCCACAAAATCTGCACATTAAATCACAATTTGAATGGCAATTTTCAGAAACAAACTGTTTTTTATGAACTCCCTAGCTCATAAAATGCTGTTGGGGGAGACTGACGCATTTCCCCTCTCTCATTCTTCTCTTGCAGATAGGTCTGTAACATGGCTCTTTGAGCTGCATGGTTTGCAAAAAGGAGAATAGTCCCCAAATGTTTCTACTCCACCTACAGTCTTCATTGCTCTGACCTTGTCAAGGATGATATCCCTACAGTGGTCCCTTCTAGACCACTTCAGGAGGACCTCTTTAAGCATGGCATTCCACATTTCCAGTTGGGAAAATACCTATTTAAGCATCTTTTTGCAATGATTGAAATCCAGATCACATCCAAGTATGTAGCTGAGAGCAGTCATAATTTGACATCTGTAGTGGAGGGACGCTCATTTCCAAGTTCTGAAGTTCCAAAGTGGACTTTCTGGTGAGATGAGCAGAGTTGCTTGTTTCCCCCAAGATAGGCTCTCAAAACTTCAAGCACTTTGAGGATTTTTAAGATGCAATTTAGGATGAATTGTTGTACTTCTAAAAGCCTCTGATTTCCTTTGAAGTTTTTTTTTTTTAATAGATCTTTATAATTTTTTCCTTTTGAATAGGTCTGTTATTACTCATAACTTGCTTTGAACAAGTAGCTTAGCAACAAATGGCCATCTGACATTATTT